GCCACTTTTTTATGGTGAAGAAAGGTTTTATACTAGAAATCTTTTGACAATCGAAAGTTACAGGGCTATAAACTCCCTTTCACAAAACAATTAACAGTTAAGAAATATAGAATAATATTATTGAGCTCTAAGCATGGACACATCTGTGTGGAAAATTTTTAAATTGTTTAATTGGAATTGTAGCTTTTCAGTCTGAAGTTTTTCTTAGATCACTCAGAATTCCCTCTAATGGTAAACGAAGTAGATTAAATTTGTAGAATATATACATCCCTACTATCTGAAATTAAATATTTGAAAACTTCATAATGGGTATATATTTCATCTTCATTGCAGATCTTAGTTTTACTTGCAGAACTGTTTAGTCTAGTAAGTTTTATATTTTAATGATGTCATTTTGGATGTTGCTTGTGAATGCCAGTTATTTAAACAAGTAGTCCTTTTCTGACCATTTGGGCCTAGAAAGGACGTTGGTCTTACCTGAACGTCTATTTTCGGAGTGGAGGAGGGAGTGGTCACGTTGGGTTTTATCTTAGCCTGATTGGTCCAAGACTGAGAGCAAAGCTATAAATACTGGTGCCTTCCAATGCTGGCCCAGTTTCTCGAAGATGAACGGTACAACTGAAACGACAAAAACAACAACACAACAAACCCCGGGAACCCCCGGGCCCTCCCCTTGGCCCCAACCAACAGAACTCAGGGCAGGTTGTGACCACTTCCTCCTCCACTTCGAAAAATAGACATTCAGGTAAGACCAACGTCCTTTTTCCAGAGTGGGAGGAGGGAGTGGTCACGTGTGGGACATACCCAAGCTAAAGTCCCAGGGAGGGATAACAAGAAACACTAGGGCCCAAGGGGAGCCTCAGCCGCCACCCCCTGCAAAACTCTCCGACCGAAGGATGTGTCCGCAGACGCGAAAACATCCAGATGATAATGCCGGATGAAGGATGTCGGGGAAGCCCAAGTGGCCGCACGGCAGATGTCCTCAAACGGGGCCCTCGTGGCCCACGCCGCCGTGGTCGCGGCACTCCTAGTAGAATGTGCCATGATCCCCGACGAAGCTGGTCAACCCGAGGCCGTGTAAGCCTCCACAATGGCCTGACGCAGCCAACGGCCAATGGTAGCCGAAGACACCCTCGATCCCAGTGACCCTGGCTGGAAGGAGACAAACAGGGCCTCCGACCTACGGACCTCCGCGGTCCGCCGGAGGTAGATCCGCAGAGCGCGGCGGACATCCAACTGATGCCAGAGACGTTCCCTGTCATTGGCTGGGCCCGGGCAAAAGTCGGGCAGGACGATCTCCTGGGCCCTATGAAAGGGAGTATTTACCTTCGGGACGAAGGCCGGGTCAAGGAGAAGGACCACCCTGTCCTCATGAAAGTGACAAAGGTCGTCCCTGGAGGACAGGGCGCCTAGCTCAGAAATACGTCGGGCGGATGTGATTGCCACAAGGAAAACCACTTTCAGCAACAGGAAGCGTAAGTGAACAGAGCGGAGGGGCTCAAATGGGGCCCTCCTCAAGGCCCTGAGGACCAGGGCAAGATCCCACGTAGGGAACCTGTGAACGGGGGGAGGCCTGAGATTAGCCGCCACCTTCAGGAAAAGCTTGATCAGGGGAAACTGGGAAAGGGAAGAAGACCCCACCCCGCCCAGGACCGAAGACAGAGTCGCCACCTGGCGACGCAAGGTGTTCTGTGAAAGCCCGTCCTCAAGACCTTTCTGAAGGAAATCCAAGAAGTTGGGAATGGTGGCCCTATCGGGAGAAATGCCCCTAGTCGAGCACCATCGGACGAAGGCCGCCCAGGTGGAGTTATAAATGCGGGTCGTCGACGGTCGCCGAGCCGCCTCGATGGTGTGAATGACTCCGGAGGACAGATGAGCCTCCCTCAGAAGCCGCTGTTCAAGAGCCACGCGGTTAGATGAAGCCATTGTGGCTCCGAGTGAACTAGAGCCCCCTGCAGCAAGACTACCTCCCCCCGCGGAATCCTCCACGGAGGAGCCACCGACAGCTGTACCAGGTCCGCAAACCAGGGCCTCCTGGGCCAATACGGGGCCACCAGAATGACCAGGGCCCCCTCCACCACCACCTTTCTGACAGTCCCCGGGATAAGGGGAATAGGAGGGAAGGCATAAAGAAGGCCCGGGGGCCACTGGCTCCTGAGGGCGTCCGTGCCCTCCGCTGACCTGGACTGGAAACGGGTGAAGAACCGTGGAAGCTGGGCGTTCTCGGGTGATGCAAACAGGTCCACCAGAGGAGACCCGAACCTTTGGCAGATCTTCCGGAACAGCAACGGGTGGAGTTGCCACTCGCCGTTGTCCAGAGTCGCTCGGCTGAGCCAATCCGCCTGGACGTTGGAGAGTCCCGAGATGTGTTCCGACACCAAGGACCATAGGTGTTTCTCCGCCCAGGAGCCCAGCCACAGAGCCTCCAACCAGAGGCCCCGTGAGTGAGTCCCGCCCTGACAATTGATGTGAGCCTTGGTGGCCACATTGTCCGTCAGGAGGAGCACATGGCACCCCTCCACCAAGGACTGAAAGTGACGCAGAGCCAGTTGCGCAGCCTTCAGATCCAGCCAATTTATATTGTGGCGAAGGTCCGAGGCCGACCACCTGCCCTGCGCCATCCGAGAGCCCACCAGGGCCCCCCACCTGAACAGACTCGCGTCCATGGTGACGGTCACCCTGTCCGGCTCCCAGAAGCAGCAGCCCCGCTGAATGGCCGGGGAGAGCCACCACGCCAGGGAGACGCGGACTCTCGCGGGGAGACGGAGAGACCGAAGGGAATTGCTCAATCGTCCCCTCTGGAAGGGGATGAGTTCCCACTGAAGGGGCCTGATATGAAGCCTGGCCCACGGAATTATTCCGATGCAAGAGACCATCTTGCCCAATAGCTGTGACAGAGAGAGGATGGAAGTGGACCGCCTTGTGCGAATGCACTCCGCCAGGTGCTGGAGGCTGTCCTGCCGTTCCTGAGACAGACTTACCACCCCCAACTTGGAATCTATGACAGTCCCCAGATGCAGAATGCGAGTGGAGGGAGAAAGATGACTCTTGGCGAAGTTCACCGAAAAACCCAGGCTCTGAAGACTTCGAATAGTAAACCGAAAATCCGAGACGGCCTGAGGAAGGGACCCCGCCTGAACCAAGACATCGTCTAAATAGCATTGAAGCCGAACTGGCACAGACCGCAGATAGAGTCTTGGACCAATCAGGATAAGATAAAACCCACATGTGACCACTCCCTCCTCCCACTCTGGAAAATCTCATTTGTTAAGTGATCATTAAACAAGATACATCATTACCTCACTCAGTGAACAAAATTCCAGCTCCCCCAGTTACAATCAAGGGACCATATAGATTGTTAGGTGGAGTGCCAGAGATGGCCCAGAGACCTCCAACTACTTGGAAGGCTTGGGCCCTCTCCCCACATTACCAGGGAAGATGGTGGTCACTAGTGTTTTCCTGAAATTTCAGCTTTTTCCTTCAGTGTACCAAGAAATTTCCTCCAGAGGTGAAAATGCTAGCAAAGGCATGTTTTAAAAGATCCGAAAAGCAGATAGCCAGTATTCTGAGCCTTTCAGAACAATAGCATTTGAGAGGGAAAATGCTGGTAGAGTGCTTTCCCTTCCCCTCTGAGAGGAAAACACTAGTGAAGGCCAATGTTCAAAATACTGGCCTTTGCTAGCATTTTCACCAAATTCTTTCAGCATTCAGGAAGGGGAAGGAAAATCTCTTACCAAGTTGAGGGGCATACCTGAAATCTAGTATCTCCTCCATCTTCCACTTTCCCCACCAACTTCCCTACTTGACATTCTGGGGAAACTGGCAGGGAAGATTGCAAATGAATCTCTCAGGGATAAATGGATTAGTTAAGAGAAGAAAAAGTAAGAGATTAGGAAAAATAGATTTAGATGAAGTTAACTGTTTTAGATCTTTCTCAGAAAATACTTATAAAGCAGTCACTTCTTTTTCTAATGATTCTGCTTGCATATCTGATGCCCACATACCTCATGGTTTGATTTTTCTTGAGATTTCCTTAGACATTGCTATCACTACATTTTTATTTACTGCCATTTCTGGTAAGTGTGAAAAGGAGATTAAGAGATACTCTATCTTGCTCTAGCTAAACAGATGGCCTCATAAGATGGTCGTTTTTTAATCATTTGTAGATATAGAATAAAGGTGAATACATATTTAAGTTCTGAAAGAGAGTAGAAGTAATAATGATGCCAAAGCAAATTTCATTACAAAACTGCCTCAGGAAAACAAGTAATATATTGGACAGCTTGGGAGTTGGGACACATCAGTGGTAGGTTCTGGCCGGTACGGCCTTGTACTGCCATACCGGTAATAGCTGGGTACAACTGACAATGTACCAGTACGGTGGCCCATTTGGCCCACCCGCCCGCGTTGTATCCATTTTTAAAGCAACTGGCCAATTGTGCACGTGCATACAGCTTCCAACAAGTAGCTGGGTGTTGCACGGGTGGTAGAGTGCGCAAGTGTGCGCAGTGTGTGTGCACGGACAGGATGCCCGGCTCCGTGCCGAGTGTACCGGTAGTGACTGGTAGGGGAACCCACCACTGGGACACATATAATGGAACAAAATTATTCATAGATGTAAAATTAAATATTCTGTTGGACCAAGATTTATATTAAATATTGAATGTTCTACATTATTTTGTCTGCCTGAACTGTGTAACTATCCATGTAAGGAATGATATATCATCAAGACAAAGAAGTTTGATGAAGACAGATCAATTGGTAGTTAAAAGCTATTACCAAAATACTGTCACCCAGAATTTTTGCAGCTTTATTCCTGTCATAATGTATTCCCAGTTGCTTCAGTTATGAATTAGTACTCTTTTAATCTTTCCATTCATTTAAGGCTGGAATATTGGACCAATTAAATAAAATTAATTAAAGAGAAACCAGGGGAAACTACAATAGAATGGTCTTACTAAAAATTAGGTTCTTAAAGACATACCACACAATTTTTATTATATGATTTCAAATGATCCAAATAATAAATTTTATTATGTTTATCAATATGCTTTCAGCAAACTCAAGTGCTTTTAGATAAATAAAAGTATAAAATATTATAATCATGGAACATTTTAAAATTCTTAGAAAGATTGTGCTTTACTCTTGTTTTTAAGTATTGCACATATCCACATTTGACAGAAATAAGCAGATTCACAGAAGATTAAAAAGAAAAATATCTCTGCAAAAGCAGGTAAAATGTCTTTTAAAAACCTTCAATAGTCCTTTACATATATATCAGTATTATAAAACAAATAAATACTTTACATGGCATGTATAATATTGAAAGAGATGAGATGACCCAATACACAAAAAGCAAGTCCAATACATACATGTAAGAAAAAAAAGGCTGTGCTGAATTTTTATACAATTTTATACAACCTGAACACATTTACAAAATGCAAGAATAATTCTTTTGTTGGATTCTATATCTGGAGGACATCTGTGGAGAAAGACTGTAAAACGGTTCTATGTCTGCTTATCTTCAGATTTATGGCAAGTATACACCAAATTTCCATGTAGCACTTATAATCCAGATCAAATATTCAACAAGAAAGCTTTGTCTCCAATACTTAAGCCGTTTGGTGGCTATTAGTCCATGCCAGGCATGACAATTATAGCCAGATATTTCTGATGTCATTTATTCAAGCTAGCATTCTATCTGAGAGTGAGGCATCCTCCTTAAATTTAAGGAATGTTGATGCGTCTGCCGGATCCGGTCCTTCTGCCACATTAGGTTTTGCGGTACTGGATATTTCTGGGTACCATGTAAGGACCGAAAGGGGATTCTAACGTGACAAGCTGTAGCACGGCAGCGAGGCTGAGGCATAGGAGGGAGTAACAGCCAACGCTTCTTCTCAGCACAGTAGCGGTAGGCCTCTTTTCTGTACTGTTTATCAATATCATCACTGTTCTTCCATCCACCTATGATGAAGATATCATCTTTGTAATAGCAGATAGCTGCCCCTTCAATGCTAAGGACCTCTGATGGTAAGCTTTCCAGAATATCATCAGATAATTGGTTAGAGATTTTTCTCTTGGCCTCTTCATGGTCTAGAGGATAGCTTCTGGAACAACAAGAAGCGGTGTGGTAAAAGTTGGTGTTCCCCACAACCATTTGGAAGCAGCAATAGTTGTCAAGGAGTGGCAGAGACTCACAATCTCGCCATTGTCGTGTGTCTGCATCATAGCGAATAATGACAGACCGTAAGCCATCTTCATTATCTCCATCAACTGGTGTGCGAGCTGCCATGTAAACAAATCTGTTGTCTATTGTAATCACTTTAACATCCCGGAGTATCTTTGGGGCAGACTCTAAGTTGTGCCACTTATCTTGATCAGGGT